TTGAACTCGCACCCTAGGCAGTGAAAGCGTGGAGTCCTAACCACTGGACACCAGGGAATTCCCTGAAATGTGTTTTTAAATCTCTAAATATTGGGGAGTTTTTTCTGGGTATATTATTATTTATTTCTAATTCAGTTCCACTGGCCAGAGAAGTTAATACAAGATTTCAAGCTTTTAAAGTCTATTGAGATTGTTTCATGGCTCAGCATATAGTTTATCTTGGGAAACATACCATGTAAACTTGCAAATTTACCAAAAAATGTGTATTCCGCAGTGGTTAGGTGTGGTGCTTTATAGATGTGATTAAGTCAAGATAGTTGATAGTGTTGTTTATGTCTTCTGTATCCTGAGATGTTGTGTATTCTGTCACTTGCTGAGAGAGGGGTATCAAAATTGCCAACTGTGATTTGGTTGGATTTGTCTAATTCTCTCTTCAATTTTATCAGATTTTGCTTCATTTAGTTTGAAACTCTGTTATACATCTACATACACATATTATGTTTATATCTTCCAGATGATGGACTCTTTTGTCATTGTGAACTGTCCCTTTTATTCTCTAATAATACCCTTTGTCTTGAAGCCTGTTTTATCTGATCTTAATATAGCCACTCAGCTTTTTAATGCTTATTGTTACATGGTATGTCTTTTAAAATCCTTTTACTTTCAATTTACTTGTGACTTTGTTTTTAAACTGTGTCTCTTGTATATGGCATATAATTGGATCTTGTTTTTTATCCAGTCTGGAAAATATGACTGAAAAAAACACTGGTATGGTTGGATTTAGGTCTACTATTTTATTTTCTGCTTGTCCCATCTGTGTTTTGTTCCTCTGTTCTTTCCTTGCTGCCTTCTTTTGGGCTAATTCAATACTTTTTAGAATTCCATTTTAATTTATCAATTGGATTTTTAGTTATACCTCTTTGTATTAATTTTAGTGGTTTCTCTAGGGATTAATTTATATATCCTGAACCTTGTGCAGTCCCATTGCATCACCACTTCGCATAAAATGTAAGAGTCTTGCAACAATATAGGTCTAATTTACTACCCCATCATTTATGCCATAATTGTAGTATAAATTATATTTACATTTGTTGTACTACTTCACACTGTGTTATAATCTTTTAAACAGTCACATATATTTTAAAGAAGTTAAGATAAAAAATAATATTCTATATTTACCTTAATATTTCCCATTTCTAGCACTCCTTATCCTTCCCAAAGATCCAGCTTCCCATCTGGTATAATAATTTTTCTTCAGCCTGAAGTACTTCCTTTAGCATTTCTTGTTATAAAGGCCTGCTGGCCATTAATTCTCTTAGTTTTTGTTCATCTGAATATGTTTTTATTTTGCCTTCAATTTTAAAGGACATTATTGCTGAATATAGAATTCTGCATTGACAGTTTTCGTTTCCTCTCAGCACAATATATATGTGTATGTGTGTGTGTGTGTGTGTGTGTGTATATATATATATATATAAAATAATCTGGTAATTAATACAGTTTATTGGCTTTTGCCCTTTTTCGTTTTACCTTTCCTACTCCCTCACTTGTGCTCTTGGGATCACCAGCCAAATCAACTACGTGCATCTAAGTCTTTTTTTCAGAGTCTGCTTTTGGGGGAACCCAAACTGAAACATGTTCAATTTACGTTATGTAAATCTGTATACAAATATACAAACACTTTCTTTTTTTTCCATGAAAAAGACCATTTGCTAAACAAATGTATTCTTTATATTCACTCATTTATTGAGAAGCTGCAGTCTCCTATACATTGTGAAATTGAACTGGTAACTTGTATTATTAGTTATTTTTATGTCTTTGGCACTTAGTGTGTATATGCATGCAAGTATGTATATATATTCTTTCCTTCTACCTATCTACTTATCTATCTCAATAAAATACACACTTGCTCTTAAGTTCATTGACAATTAGAACTATGACTTCTTCTTAAGTATGTCTCTAAAATCTAATAGAGTTCAGTGCAAACAGTAGGTGCTCAACAAGCGTTTCCTGATTGATCATTCTTATTTTTAGGCTTCACATACACTATGCATTGTTATACACAAAGTCAACATATAAAATTGATATTAGATAATTTACAAATTAAGGAATTATTAAATTTAACAAATATTTGCACACCTCCTATAGGCAAAAGCATGGTGGAGGCTGTGAAGTCAGAATGCAGGAACATAATATGGTGTGTGATAGGCTCTATACAGCAAATAATTCAGTGAAAAAATGAGTTTACAGAAATAAATACTATTTCATAGAAGGGAAGGATTAGGATTGAGTGATAGACATGACTGGAAATAGCTTCCAGAAATAATTATTTGAGAAGGACCTTGAGGAATAGGTAGGGTTTAAATAGACAGAGAACGGGGAGGGTGTTCCAGTGTTGGAGTGCAGGGTAAGAAATCAATGGTAATAAAGCTAAAGAAAGATGAAATAACACGGAGAATGAGGATGAAGGGACCTGAATGAACATGGGGTGTGTGAGTAACCAAGAGAATGGCCTGACTGAGGGTTAGTTTCCTATTGAGTAACGATAGAAAATAAGCAATGAAGGGCCTTTAAACCCAAGGCATGTAGACTGTCACTAAAACAAGAGGGAATTTTTGCAGGATTTTTTTAACGTGAACTATAAATAACTAAAGTAGAGATTGAATTGAAGAGGATCAGTTTGGCATGTTGCACAGAAAGAGCAGGGATGAAACACGGCTGATGGCATAGAAACCCAGTACAACTTGCTGTCTAGAATCTTCAGGCCTCTTTAGCTTTCCGTTTAAGTGAAGATTTTTCTCTTTTAGGTAATCTGTGCATTTAAAATCATTATTTTCCATTTGTCATCATGCTTTCTCTTTTAGATCATAGTATTTTATTCATTTTAAAAGGTTATCAGTTTTTTAAAAAGTCTAAGTAACCAGAAGATTGCATTCTGTTCTTTCTGGACTATTGAGAAAGGGGCCTGATAGAAACATAATGACTCCAGTCTGGTTTTTTTCGTTGAATTTTAATATTTTTTTTTTGTTCTTTTGTAATTTTAAACTTTTGTACTAAACTTTAAAATTATGGTTATACAGATGACTTCATACATCCCAATTCTGAGATTTAGATGGAGTGTTGTTATGAATATTGTCATCAGAAAGTCATTGTCACTCTGAATTATCTTAGTTTACATATTGCTAAATTTCAAGATGCTTTCATTACTTATAGAAAGACTTTCCTCCTAAGAAAAATTAAAGTCAATGGAAAAATATTTAACTAAAATTCACTTTTTAGGAATGCTTTTATGTCAGTCTGGTGATGTACACATGCACTTTGGGATACCATTGATCTCGTATTCTACTAAGAATATATTAATTTTTTAAAGAACGTTTATCAGCTAGGTATATAACTTGATCATATGCACATCAGGAATATTCTAGAAGTTATTAAGTAGTTAAACTATATTCAATTTAAAAAACAAAGGCATTACCTTTTTTTATTCTTGTGCTTCAGTTTGGCTTTTCACTCAACAAGCACTTATCAAACACATCCTATGGGAATGGCACCGTTGTGTGCTGCGGTATAAAGAAAACTCCTAGTGAGTCCTCCTCAAGGAGCCTGTTTTCAGGTAGGCGGCCAGACTTGTAGTTAACAAGGTGAAGTGTTACAGCTGCTCACAGGGCTCCAAACAGGATATGGTAAGGGAAACAATAATAGGATTAGGCGAGGAAAAAAAATCAGGGCAAGCTTTATAGAGAAGGTGAGAGTTGAATTGAGTTTTAAAAGATGAAAAAGTTTGGAGATGAGAGGTCTGGGAAAAAATGGAATTCCTGGTAGAGGTAATGATTCCGGTTTCTTGAACCGTCTGATTCTGTGGTGAACTAGCAGCACTTTTGCCCAGGTTAGCCTCCAACTGTGGATGAAAATGGAAAGGAAGGTTAGAGTCAAAGAGAATTTGTTTTTCTTTATAATAACTCAGAGCCTGCACGTGATGATAATAAGCATCTCACTGCACACTGTGAGGTATGTTGTGATGCACATTGTGATATGTTAACACGTGATAGCAACTTACTTAATTCCTGTTGCCTCCTCTCTTTTGGGAGCTCAGATGAGACAGTCTTCCTTCCTCTTGCCCTCTCTCAGTTTTCTTTCTTTCCATATCCAATTTCAGATGAAACTATCTGAGAGCAAGTCCCTAGCACTGACAGTGTTGATAACAATTTGCATCTAGAAACTTGGACCAGGCTCATAATTCATATTCAGTAATATTTCCATATCAGACCCACCCTAAATTCCAGATCCTCTCCATTCTTTCAATTCCTTCAATTTGTAATAAATATTATTTGTCTGTTGTATTCCAGGTACTTTGTCTGTTATATTCTAGGTACTTTGGTAATATTAATGAATAAAAGGGACAAAGATCCCTGACCTGATGGAACTTACATTTTAGTAATCATCACAACTGCTCTGGAAAATTGCTTTTTTTCTCCCACAGAGATTTATCATGAAAATTAGGTTGCTATCTAAGAGAGTGATTTTCTTTTACGGGCTTTGTATAGACACTGGGGTGGGAAGACATTTTTTATTTCTGGGGAAAAAGGCTTTTTTGTAGCTGGGGGTTCTGTAAGGCTAGACCAGTATGATGTGGCATATTTTCTCTAGTTTATCTTGTAAGAGATGAAGGTTTGAAGGCACTAAAAATATAGTGGTTTCAGAGACAGATAAGTGGGTGAAGGGAGAAATATTTAAAGACAAGTTATTTGAAGCTTTCCTTGACTTGGCTTCAGTGAGGAGAAAGAGAGAGAAGACAGCCACCAAATGACTAGTGCATCAATTATAGCTTGGGTATACTTTATACAGACAGAATAGAAACATAGTAAGAAAGTAGAAACGACTAAATAGGAGAGAATTCTGTTATGGCATAAAAAAATCCAATTATTAAAAATGCAGTAAATTTGAAATAGAGTATTTTCAGTTTCATTTTTTGTTTACAGTTCTTATTTGTTACTTCACAGATGCTGTGCCTGTTCCCTCAGAAGAAAGCCCATCTCTGCAGACAAGTGTGAGTTTCGACAAGAAATCAGACAGTACCATTACAGATACTGTAATAGAAAACCCTCTGCAAATGTCTCTAGAAAAGCAGCCAGCTGCAAAAAGTTTTGAAACATTGACAACTTTACCAGCATTTTGGCCATCTAGCAAAGAAGAGTTCATCAACCCTAATTTAAGGATATCAAAGTCGGATTCTACTTTCTATAACCAGGGCTCTGTGGAGACACTCTCTGTCTCTCCCTCATTCAAGACACTTGACCCAGTGAAACAGACTGTAATAATCAGTAAGGACCATCAGAAACGAACAGAATCCGGCCTGGTTCAGGTGGAGGATGAAAACCTCAAGACCTTAACCACATGGGGTGAGTCTACAAAAGACCTCTTTTGAAGTACTCTTCTTTTACTTTTCTCTGCTTTCTGTCTCCTGTTTTTGTTCCCTCCTTTTACTCTCCATCCATTGGTATTAAGAGACGAACTTGAGCTGGGGAAGTCCCCGTTTATTAAAGGGCTAATAGCAGTTCATCTCTGTGGGTTACAAGTGCTGGATTGAAGCACACGTTCTGAACAGTTCTGATGCAGAACAAATTAGAAAGAACTAGCATTAAAGAAGAGCTTCCTGTTAAACATTTAGGCTAGTTATTAAAAAACTATATGAAAAAATTGTTTAGTATGCATATCAGTATGTATACACACACACACACACACACACACACACACACACACATATATGGGAACACATGCATATGTGTGTGTGTGTTTTCCCTTTTTAAAAAGAGTTGTGTACTGATTCCAAAAACAGGTGGAGAATCTCTTCCTTTTCTGTCTTACAAAACATTAAGAGGGTTGCAGTATTCTTCAGACTGGATTATAAAGGATAAAGCCAGTTGAGATTCCAGGTCGTTGGCCATCAGATATTAAATCCTACATTTTTATAATTTCTTCTGTAAAGTTAATTAGTAAAAGAATAACTTGTTTGCTGGTGCATTTTTCAAAGACTAAGTAGTTTGTTCTTATATATGATAATGCTAACTAACTCATATAAATATAAAGTTTTTAATATAAATCTTATAAACTGCCTCAAATTCAGGTCACAAGTACAATATAAATACAAACAATGGAAGCCAAAATGTTGAGGTTAAAGAAATTTATCTTGGTGCTAGTAAGGCCAGTGAATAACAAAAGACTCTTCTTACTGCTCTTTCCAGAATGTTTTGAATTGAGTAGCCTAAAAATAAGACTAATTCTTAGTTTTGTCACCAGATCAACTTTTCTGCTGAGACTGCTGATGGAGAACCCAGTTAGTACTGGTTATGATGGCCGTGTTAGTTTATGTGCATGGCTGTCCCCTGGGAAGTTATTTTGATTCATTTCTTTCACAAATACCACAAAAAGAAAATTGAAAATAAATTTTGGTCACTGCTTGTGTATCAAGTACATTTAATTATAAAAATTAGCAAGAAGTTCCTCTAAAACCAGTGAACAAGGAAGACTTCTTCTCCTACTTAAAATGAAGTAGATAGCATTAGTCTAATCCTCCCCCAAAAATACTGGTTAAAGCTGGAAAACTATTAGAAGTCATCGTAAAACAACCAAGGTAGAAAACACATGATGGGTCAGGATCCTAGGAAAAAGGATTGTGATATTGTGATATAATAGAAATATATATTTGGTCTTCATCACTGATTTCTGGCACAGAGCTCCTGAAACTCTTGTAATTTCCTGAGTGATAGGAGAGAGAGGAGCATCTTTTGTTATTCATAATAAGCCCTTTCAAGCCCACCCCTGACCTGTGGGGAGAGGAGAGGGGGTGGATGCTGAGTTAATCATCAGGGGACAGTGATTTGGTCAATCATGCCTCCGTATTGGAACTTCTATAAAAACCCTAAACAACGGGGTTTAGAGTGCTTCCTGGTTGGGGAACACATAAAGGTTCTGGGAGGATGGCACACCTGGAGAAGACACGGCAGCTCTGTGCCCCTATCCCATACCTTGCCCTATGCATTTCTTCCATTTGGCTGTTTCCTTATAAACCAGTAATAGTAAGTAAAGCATGTTCCTGAGTTTTGCGAGCCATTGTAGCAAATTATCAAACCCAAGGAGGGGACCATGGGATCCTTCAACTTATAGTCAACAGATCAGAAATAGAGGAGGCCTGAACTTGCAATTGGCATCTGAAATGGGGGGCAGTCTTGAGGGTTTAAGCCCTTAATCTCTGGGATCTGCACTAACTCTGGGTAGTTAGTGCCAGAATTGAATTAAATTGTAGGACACCCAATTGGGTGTCCACAGAGCACAGGAGAAATCCTTCGTGTGGAAAGCCCACACGTTTGGTGTCAGAAGTGATGTGAGAAGAGTAGGAAACTCACCACATTTAGTTGGTCCCACATTCACCTCAGTTTTCCCTGCTTGCATCATTTGCTTATTAGCAGAGCAGGATGATAGAAGCTGAGGGAAAATTAGAGGCCTGGGCTTTCCACAGTCTCACTGAGCTTGGGAGGTAGGGTTGGAGTTTTGGACTTCCAAGGTGTCAGGGACTCAAGGGGCCAGTATTCCAGAGGGGAGAGAATCACAGAGAAAAAGTCCATAAGTCTTTGTGTAATTTCTTACTGTTACATTTGCCTGCTGCTAAACTGCTCATGTTCTGGATAAGATGCCAAGAAACGAAATGGGAAGCAGCCAACCCGTTCAGCCAGCCTAAATGGGAAGAGGCTGACGAGCTAATCAGAGATTCTCATAATCTTGTGGCACTGAGACAGAGGTTGGAGTTCAGGATATGCCAGATTGCAGGGGCTCTGGTAAATACTCTGTGCTTTCAGCTGGGCTCTCTAACAGGCTACACCCTAAGCATCAGAAGTACACTCTAGGAGTAAGGACAAGCCAGAAATAGAACAGCCCTCCCAAATGCTGAAACCGAACTTCAACTACAGCAAAGTGTCTGGAAGACAATGAAATCCTTTCTTGAGAGCTGCTACAATTTTTCATGCATAATGTTTGGCATTCAACAAAAAATTACCAGGCATACCAGGAAATGACCAAATGACCAGAAATACAGGAGAGAACAGACAACAGAAAGAGACTCACAAATAATGGAGATCCTGAAGTTATAAGATAGGTACTTTAAAATAATTATGATTAATATAATCAAGAAAACAGAGGAAAAGATGGGGATTTCATCAGAATAGAATACTACTCTCTATAAAAAAAGAATCAAGTGAATTCATGAATTCCAAAGCTGAAAAATATAGTAACTGAAATTAATACCTTGAGGGTACTGTTCAGTGCACATGGCCTGAGATGTCAAAAGAGAGAGTTCAGCACTGGCAGAGAAGCTGAAAATTTATGAGGGAAACCCTGAAAGGGAGGGAGACTCAGATGGAGTCTCAGATCCCATTTATAAACTCTGCCCAAATCCTTGACTGACTGCTAAACTGTATGTGTAAGGGAAGACCCCAGTGACTCGTGGAAAAAAAAAAGAACACTGGAAATTATAAATATGTGGGTAAATATAAAATACTATATATTTTTTTTAATTCTAATTTGAAAAGTAACATACAACTCTTCAAAGCAAAAAATTTTAATACTGTATTTTGGGTTTTAAAACTTATGTAAATGTAATTACATCACAACATAGCACAAAGAATGGCTGAATTGCATAGTTGTTAATGGCACAGGTTCTGGAGTCAGACTGCCTGGGTTCATAATCTCAGTTCAACCACTAATTGTGTGACCTTAGGCAAGGCCCTTGACCTCTCTGCATGTCAGTATCTCCATTTATAGGAAGAAGTCGTGATGGCACTGCCACATGGAACACAGAGGCCGTTATAGGAAAGGATTCGAGGTGAGAGAAAGGAGACAAGAGCCGGTGGGTGAGGTGGGGGAGAGATCCCAAGATGGAGCATGATGTGGGGAAGGCAGACAAGAATCCAGACCAGAAGGAGAGTCACCTCATGCTGCGGGCCTGTAAGGAAAGAGGAGAAAGGCTGTACCAGATGTGAGGGAAGGGTTTTGTTGTTTTTAATAATTTAAATGCGTTGAGCCTTCGTGGGCCACACTCTATGTGTCATGGCCTCAGTATCTTATTGTCTGAGGTCACCTACCAAGCCCGAGGGTTTGGAGTGGCAAAAGGGCTGTGAAGAGACTGGAGATTTAGAACAGCCCATCTAGAGAGTGGAGGAGGGAGCTGATAAGACACTGAGAAGACGGAGGAGGCGTAATTTGTAGTCCAGATTTGCAGCCGCCTGTGCTTTTCTCCTGTAGTGCTGAGCATCCCAGGGATAGGAACGAAGAGGGTAGATATTTAAATTGAAATAGGATTAGGACAGGGATTGGGGAACTGCAGCCTCTTGGGCCACAGCCTGTTTTTGTAAATAAAGTTTTATTGGAAAACAGCCACACTACTCAGCTCGCATATTGTCTTTGGCTGCTTTTGTGCTACATCAGCAGACCTGAGTAGTTCAAACAGAGACTGTATGTACCACAAAGCCTATAAGATTTACTCTCTGGTCCTTTATATAAAAGGTTTGCTGACTCCTGAATTAGGAATTAGTAGGAGGTAAGGCAGAAGATGTGTTGGCAAGGGGGTAGCTAGAAAATGGCTGAAGTGATGGATCCTGGGATTCTAGACTGGACAAGAAAGGAGCCAGAACTAGGAGGCACTGATCGAGAGAAAATAGAAGGATCGTTGCATCTATTGTCTCAATGAGGCCAAAGTGTAGATGTATTAAAAGGAATGTAAAAGGAATCTAAAAGGCTGGAAGTAATTGAGAAGAAAAGTAATCTTGGAAAACAAGATTTCAGAGTAGGGCAGTTGTGAGTGATGATATATTCTAGGGAATACTCAGAGGAATGGCTGAAGGTCATTGTGGTTGAGGAATTCAAGAAATGATGAGGCTAGGATGGATGGCTAGTCTCAGATGATGGAGGATAAAGAAGATAGTACCTATTTCCTGGTTTTCTTTTAAGAAATATTTGTTTACATGAAGGCTCCAGGTCTGATGTTATAAACTCTTTGGAGATAATGAGCTGGGCAAATTAAAAAATACTTGCACACTCGTATTTTAGCAGTTCGCAAATATCAGGGAGGCTGTTGAGGCAGCCACCTAATACACTTCAGTGTCTTTACTGAATGAGAGGGATGGATTTGCTGCAGCGACCTCCTTTGACCCTTTGATGATAAATAACTGTTCCTAGAACAGCCCATTCCTTCTGCTCCTCTGTTTATTTGGAGCTCAAACTATTGTTTTAGGTCGTTAGTTTATCATGCACGCTAAAAAGGAAGCAGGAGCTAGTAAGTACTTAGAAGCCAGGTCTGGTGGCAGGCAGCTTTCATTATAGTCTCATAAGCCACAGTTAGGGTAAGTGT